GGGGAGCCATTAAGTCTTTGCCTGTATTAGCGCTTTCAAGGTCAGCCATGATGCAAGAACTCAAGGCAAACCGTCAGCTGCGTAAGAGCTGCTGATTTACTTCATTTACTCTCCTGTTTCCTGATAACTTGTGCAGCAGATCCAGCAGCAGCGTGTCAACGCCCCACGTTGCTCCTGAGTGTCACCTGGGCTGGTGTGGGGGGGGCAGGGGTTGATGTGGCTGTGCTTCCCCAAGGGATGATCCAGGACCCCTTGGACATTCCACACATGATCATCATGAATGTCACCCCAGTGGTTTCCCAGTGTCAGAGCTTCCATCAGAACTAGAATAAACAAACAACAGGAATGTGTCTTTCGGGCACAGTCCCCCATCGGAGGTCGTTCGTGCAGAGCTGAAGCCTCGGAAGCCGATCTGTCCAACGGGGTCTGTGCAGGAGGAGCGGCCGCCCGCTGCGGTACCGCGCGGCGCTGGAGCCGGTGCCCAGAGCTTGCTGTGTGCAATGCAAAGGGACGCAGGAGCTGGCACTTGGTCGGACAGAGAGCCTGTGGGTGGGAGGAGGAGAGCCTGGTGTGTCGGGCTGGCAAACGGGCGCTGGACGCTGCTGGACCAACCTCACCTGCAGATCTGGAGGTGGATGCTCTAGAGCGTTTGGCACAACACAGCCCCGCTCCTCGTTTCTTGTGCCCCCCTCCCTGCACAAGCAGACAGACGTCACTGCAGCTCTGTGCCTCAGTTTCCCTGATGTTTAAAGGGAAGCGAACGCTGTTTGCACAGAGGTGAGCAGTGAGGTTTAGCTCAGCTGGTCGCACGCCTGTTGGAGGCTCCTCGATGGATGCACCACACAGACAGAAACAAGAGACAGTGGCGGGGTGTGATCCAGCCGGGAGAAGCCTTTGGCAGCAACGTTTAGTAATATATTTAATGAGGTGGCCTCTGGTCTTTGCAGCACAGCCCAGAACAACAGCGGGTCCTTTGTAAACATGCCGTCAAAAAAGAGCAAAGGCAGAAAAGTGCCTCGTGCATGGATTTATTAAATTTTTTCCCCCGCAATGATCAATGCCGCTTTGATTTCTGAAACAGAATCAAAGGACGTGGCTTGGTATTCAAGCCCTCACTCAGAAAACCTTTGTGGATCCAAGTGTCTGCTCCACAGGAGCCTTCAGCCCCATCGCTTGGCTGTGGCTTCTGCTGTTGCTGATGCTGCCTGGAGCTGGGAGCACCCGGGGATTTGGGGTTGTGCG